TATATAGTGATTAAATACACATTATAGCTTGTTATATAGTGATTAAATACACATTATAGCATGTTATATAGTGATTAAATACAGATTATAGCATGTTATATAGTGATTAATACACATTATAAGCTTGTTATATAGTGATTTAAATACACATTATAGCATGTTATATAGTGATTAAATACACATTATAGCTTGTTATATAGTGATTAAATACACATTATAGCATGTTATATAGTGATTAAATACACATTATAGTGATTAAATACACATTATAGCATGTTATATAGTGATTAAATACACATTATAGTGATTAAATACACATTATAGCATGTTATATAGTGATTAAATACACATTATAGTGATTAAATACACATTATAGCATGTTATATAGTGATTAAATACACATTATAGTGATTAAATACACATTATAGCATGTTGATTAAATACACATTATAGCATGTTATATAGTGATTAAATACACATTATAGCATGTTATATAGTGATTAAATACACATTATAGCATGTTATATAGTGATTAAATACACATTATAGCTTGTTATATAGTGATTAAATACACATTATAGCATGTTATATAGTGATTAAATACACATTATAGCTTGTTATATAGTGATTAAATACACATTATAGCTTGTTATATAGTGATTAAATACACATTATAGCATGTTATATAGTGATTAAATACACATTATAGCATGTTATATAGTGATTAAATACACATTATAGCATGTTATATAGTGATTAAATACACATTATAGTGATTAAATACACATTATAGCATGTTATATAGTGATTAAATACACATTATAGCATGTTATATAGTGATTAAATACACATTATAGTGATTAAATACACATAGCATGTTATATAGTGATTAAATACACATTATAGCATGTTATATAGTGATTAATACACATTATAGTGATTAAATACACATTATAGCTTGTTATATAGTGATTAAATACACATTATAGTGATTAAATACACATAGCATGTTATATAGTGATTAAATACACATTATAGCATGTTATATAGTGATTAAATACACATTATAGTGATTAAATACACATTATAGCATGTTGATTAAATACACATTATAGCATGTTATATAGTGATTAAATACACATTATAGCATGTTATATAGTGATTAAATACACATTATAGCATGTTATATAGTGATTAAATACACATTATAGCTTGTTATATAGTGATTAAATACACATTATAGCATGTTATATAGTGATTAAATACACATTATAGCTTGTTATATAGTGATTAAATACACATTATAGCATGTTATATAGTGATTAAATACACATTATAGCTTGTTATATAGTGATTAAATACACATTATAGCTTGTTATATAGTGATTAAATACACATTATAGCATGTTATATAGTGATTAAATACACATTATAGTGATTAAATACACATTATAGCATGTTATATAGTGATTATAAATACACATTTATAGCATGTTATATAGTGATTAAATACACATTATAGTGATTAAATACACATTATAGCATGTTATATAGTGATTAAATACACATTATAGCATGTTATATAGTGATTAAATACACATTTATAGCATGTTATATAGTGATTAAATACAGATTATAGCATGTTATATAGTGATTAAATACACATTATAGCATGTTGATTAAATACACATTATAGTGATTAAATACATATTATAGCATGTTATATAGTGATTAAATACACATTATAGCTTGTTATATAGTGATTAAATACACATTATAGCTTGTTATATAGTGATTAAATACACATTATAGCATGTTATATAGTGATTAAATACACATTATAGCTTGTTATATAGTGATTAAATACACATTATAGTGATTAAATACACATTATAGCATGTTATATAGTGATTAAATACACATTATAGCATGTTATATAGTGATTAAATACACATTATAGCATGTTATATAGTGATTAAATACAGATTATAGCATGTTATATAGTGATTAAATACACATTATAGCATGTTATATAGTGATTAAATACACATTATAGTGATTACATACACATTATAGCATGTTATATAGTGATTAAATACACATTATAGCATGTTATATAGTGATTAAATACACATTATAGCATGTTATATAGTGATGAAATACACATTATAGCATGTTATATAGTGATTAAATACACATTATAGTGATTAAATACACATTATAGCATGTTATATAGTGATTAAATACACATTATAGCATGTTATATAGTGATTAAATACAGATTATAGCATGTTATATAGTGATTAAATACACATTATAGCATGTTATATAGTGATTAAATACAGATTATAGCATGTTATATAGTGATTAAATACAGATTGTAGCATGTTATATAGTGATTAAATACACATTATAGCATGTTGATTAAATACACATTATAGCTTGTTATAAAGTGATGAAATACTTTTAGGAATAATGAGGAATAATGAGGAATCATAACGAGTTCTTCAGTTGGTCCACAGAGAGTTTAATGAAGAAACCATTTAATCAAATACACCTTCATACAAACATCAATGAACATCTATAAACACACAATGACCAATAGGGCACATCTGAGCCGTGCACGTGCACTCTGAGCTGTGCACTCTGAGCCGTGCACTCTGAGCTGTGCACTCTGAGCCGTGCACTCTGAGCTGTGCACTCTGAGCCGTGCACTCTGAGCCGTGCACTCTGAGCCGTCTCTGATCCGTGCACGTGAAATCTGAGCCGTGCACTCTCAGCTCTACATGCACAACACTGTTCAGGACCATGAGACTCACACTCTTCAAACACACTCTTCCTACACACTCTTCACACACACTCTTCACACACACTCTTCCTACACACTCTTCCTACACACTCTTCACAACACGCGGCACACACTACGCGGCACAAAAGGGCACACAAAGCGGCACACACAGGCAGGCACACGCGGCCGACACACGCGGCACACACACGCGGCACACACACGCGGCCGACACACGCGGCCGACACAGCGGCACACACACGGGGCCGAACACGCGGCCGACACACGCGGCACACACACGCGGCACACACACCCGGCCGACACACGCGGCACACACAGCGGCACACACACGGGCACACACACGCGGCCGACAGACGCGGCACACACACGCGGCACACAACGGCACACACACGCGGCCGACACACGCGGCACCACACGCGGCACACTCACGCGGCACACACACGTCACACACATCTGCACACGCACTCGGCACACACACTCTTCACACACTCTTCACACACACTCTTCACACTCACTCTTCACACACACTCTTCACACACACTCTTCACACTCATTCTTCACACACACTCTTCACACACACTCTTCACACACACTTCACACACTCTTCACACACACTCTTCACACACACTCTTCATACTCACTCTTCACACACTCTCTTCACACAGTTTACTCGTGAAGTTACTGAAGCAGCATTAAGATGGAGAATAAACTAGAAAGAATAAACTAAATAAAGGTTTTACATTTATGAGTTTTTTTGTACATTTTGCCGCTTTGCTTCACACATATTAATATTATTTCTTTACGTAAGACGGCTCTTTGAGATCAAATCAAATTCATTTGAACTTTAATTTCCTCTAAATCTCTGGTCTTTATTTTGTGATGAACAGATCTATTTAATCCCCCCTGTGCAGCTCTCTCTGAAATCAAACGCACCCTCAGTCTCACCCTCACGCTTCATTTCCTACAGCTGCACATCCCTTCATTAACTCACAGTCAATTAACCCCAGATACAGGGGGGGTTAGGAGAGCAAATGAGGTCAGAGGAAGGAGACAAGGAAAGGAAAGACTGGAAATAAATTACACTAAATTAATTATATAAAATATATTATAATTATTTTCTGTTTCGCCTCCATTGGACTCCTTTGTTTACTTCCAGAACACAGTGACATCACTATGGATTATTCCTCCTATTGGCTAGTGTTACAACACATTGTAGTAATAGACAAGGGGCGGGACATCTCTAAGCTGGTTGACCAATCACAACAGAGCCGTCCAGCTAACCAATCAGAGCAGACTGGGCTCTGGTTTCAGACAGAGGGTGAAAAGAGGTGGAGAGCAGGAGAGGACTCTTTAAAGTAGAGAGACTACACACTGATATACACCTGAACATCAGCAGGAGAGGACTCTTTAAAGTAGAGACACTACATACTGATATACACCTGAACATCAGCAGGAGAGGACTCTTTAAAGTAGAGACACTAAATACTGATATACACCTGAACATCAGCAGGAGAGAACTCTTAAGTAGAGACACTACATACTGATATACACCTGAACATCAGCAGGAGAGAACTCTTTAAAGTAGAGACACTACATACTGATATACACCTGAACATCAGCAGGAGAGGACTCTTTAAGTAGAGACACTACATACTGATATACACCTGAACATCAGCAGGAGAGGACTCTTTAAAGTAGAGACACTACATACTGATATACACCTGAACATCAGCAGGAGAGGACTCTTTAAAGTAGAGACACTACATACTGATATACACCTGAACATCAGCAGGAGAGGACTCTTTAAAGTAGAGACACTACATACTGATATACACCTGAACATCAGCAGGAGAGGACTCTTTAAAGTAGAGACACAACATACTGATATACACCTGAACATCAGCAGGAGAGGACTCTTTAAAGTAGAGACACTACATACTGAGGACTCTTTAAAGTAAAGAGTAATATTGTTCGTGTGGTTTCTTCCTCTTCCGTCTCGTATGTTTTATGTTTCACTATGTTTGTGTATTTTAAAATGTGTGAATCAACGTCAACCGTCTGAACTGTCATTTTTAACGTTCACACACACAACATAAACTCCTGTGTGATGACATCATCGTCCTCTCAAAGCTCTGCTTCCCAGATAAATATGATGAGCTGAGCCGTGATGTCACTGATGATGTCACTGATGATGTCACACCTCCATGCTCTCTGGTTTCTGAGTGCTGGAGATCCAGAGGGTGGACTGGGTGGGGGGGGCCGTCTTCGTGCGCGGGGAACTGCAGAAACAGATATTTATATTATTATTATTTTATATTTTATTTAATTAATACTTTATATATATCTATGTACTTTTACTGCAGTAAAAAGGTACTATCTGCCTCTGAGACGTTTCACTGAGTATAAAGAGAGGAAAATACACCAGAGTCAGCAGAAACACCTGAACTCATGCCAGGTATTGACTCACACACACACACACACACACACACACACACACACATCCACACACACACACACACACACACACACACACACACTGGGCAGTGAGCCAGCAGCTGTAAATCTTCTCATGTTAACAAGACGTCTGAGTGTGTAACTTGTCATAATCACTGAGTAAGCACTACACAAACCCACAAACACACACATGCACACACACACACACACCCGCACTCACGCACACGCACGCACACACACACCTAGGAAATGTAATTACAAAAGACATAGATTAAAAGTGGCCATTGTTGTTTAAACAAAGAATATAAATAGTAGAAAAAATTATAAATTAAAGTCCAAAAAATCACTAGAGTCTCACCTCCTGCTGAGCATCTGGAAACAACAAGTCCCAGAAGCCACCAGGATGAGCAGCAGCAGGGGATTGTGGGTATTATGACGTAGACCAGCAGCATGCCCGAAGCCCCTGCCAGGTCCTCGCTGCCTGACGCCCGGACCTCACCTCCACCTGCAGGGGCCTCTGGAAACATGTAAACAACAACATGTAAACAACAACATGTAACCCTAACCCTCCACCTGAGGCCTGTACTACGAATCCGGTTCAACATAACCTGGATATGTTTGAGTTACCCGGTTTACCTAATCCAAAACAAACGCACTCTCGCTAAGCGGTCCTACGACGCTGGTTATCAACTCGTTAACTCAAGCCAGCCGTGTCCTATCTAGTTAGGTGCGCGTTCACATGAAAGGGGTGGTATTTGGAGCATTCAACCAATCACAAACATGGACAAGCGTACTGACAGCGCAGCGTCATACTTCCTGAATGAAAAGTGAACTTTAATATTAGTCAAATATGAAGAAGTTAAACTTTAAACATCCATGACTTAAACACTTTATCCAGGATCAAAGCCACATAGCTGCACCTGCAAGGTGAATACAGCTGGTAACAGAGAAAGTGTTTGAATGCGTACATTAACAGGTTTATGATATCACTGCCCCGTCTAAGACACGATCTGACTTTAGTTACATTTGACTCGAGTGTTTCGTCAACTTAATGTGTTGCTTAAAATAATACTTCTGCATCCAGTATGTGACACTGTGAGTTAGGTTAGCCGCTCAGCATCAGTTACCATGGAGATCTAGCCCGCTAAAAAGAGAACCAGCGTCGTAGGACCGGAAACCCAGAGTTTTCCCTGAAGTTAGCCGCTAAGAGAACATCCGGCTTCGTAGTACAGGCCTCAGCAGTGGCCTCGTAGGGTTAGGGTTAACCCCTAGCCCGTAAACATGTGAACAACAACATGTAACCCTAACCCTTAACCTGCAGTGGCCTCTGTAAACATGTAAACAACAACATGTAAACAACTACATGCAAAGATCAACATGTGTCTGTGTGATGCTGGCCATCGGGTGTTAAGGGGTCACAACACACACAATCACAACACACACAACACACATAATCACAACACACACGATCACAACACACACAACACACACGATCACAACACACACAACACATAATCACAACACACACAACACACACAACACACACGATCACAACACACACAACACACATAATCACAACACACACAACACACATAATCACAACACACATAATCACAACACACATAATCACAACACACATACAGGATCACAACACAACACACATAAAGGGAAGGACTAGTGGAGGTACGAGCTTATAAGGGCTTCCTGCTCACCTGTGCTCCGCCCCCCAGGTGTTTCAACCGGTTCCTTCACAACATGGCTCTCTGCGAGAAAAATAACAAAGGAAAATATAATCGTTGTAGTGAGGTAGTCCTGTTGTAGTCCTGTTGTCATGTTGTAGTCATGTTGTAGTCATGTTGTAGTCATGTTGTAGTCATGTTGTAGTCCTGTAGTCATGTTGTAGTCATGTTGTAGTCATGTTGTAGTCATGTTGTAGACCTGTAGTCATGTTGTAGTCATGTTGTAGTCATGTTGTAGTCATGTTGTAGTCATGTTGTAGTCATGTTGTAGTCATGTTGTAGTCATGTTGTAGTCCTGTTGTAGTCATGTTGTAGTCATGTTGTAGTCATGTTGTAGTCCTGTTGTAGTCATGTTGTAGTCCTGTTGTAGTCATGTTGTAGTCCTGTTGTAGTCCTGTTGTAGTAGGTGTAGTCCTGTTGTAGTCATGTTGTAGTCATGTTGTAGTCATGTTGTAGTCCTGTTGTAGTCCTGTTGTAGTCCTGTTGTAGTCATGTTGTAGTCCTGTTGTAGTCCTGTTGTAGTCCTGTTGTAGTCATGTTGTAGTCATGTTGTAGTCATGTTGTAGTCCTGTTGTAGTCCTGTTGTAGTCATGTTGTAGTCATGTTGTAGTCCTGTTGTAGTCATGTTGTAGTCCTGTTGTAGTCATGTTGTAGTCCTGTTGTAGTCATGTTGTAGTCCTGTTGTAGTCCTGTTGTAGTCATGTTGTAGTCCTGTTGTAGTCATGTTGTAGTCCTGTTGTAGTCATGTTGTAGTCCTGTTGTAGTCATGTTGTAGTCCTGTTGTAGTCCTGTTGTAGTCCTGTTGTAGTCATGTTGTAGTCATGTTGTAGTCATGTTGTAGTCCTGTTGTAGTCCTGTTGTAGTCATGTTGTAGTCTTGTTGTAGTCATGTTGTAGTCATGTGTAGTCAGTTTGTAGTCATGTTGTAGTCATGTTGTAGTCATGTTGTAGTCATGTTGTAGTCCTGTTGTAGTCATGTTGTATGTTTGTAGTCATGTTGTAGTCATGTTGTAGTCCTGTTGTAGTCATGTTGTAGTCCTGTTGTAGTCATGTTGTAGTCATGTTGTAGTCATGTTGTAGTCATGTTGTAGTCATGTTGTAGTCATGTTGTAGTCCTGTTGTAGTCCTGTTGTAGTCATGTTGTAGTCATGTTGTAGTCATGTTGTAGTCCTGTTGTAGTCATGTTGTAGTCCTGTTGTAGTCATGTTGTAGTCCTGTTGTAGTCCTGTTGTAGTCATGTTGTAGTCATGTTGTAGTCATGTTGTAGTCATGTTGTAGTCATGTTGTAGTCATGTTGTAGTCCTGTTGTAGTCATGTTGTAGTCATGTTGTAGTCATGTTGTAGTCCTGTTGTAGTCATGTTGTAGTCCTGTTGTAGTCTGTTGTAGTCATGTTGTAGTCATGTTGTAGTCCATGTTGTAGTCCTGTTGTAGTCCTGTTGTAGTCATGTTGTAGTCATGTTGTAGTCATGTTGTAGTCCTGTTGTAGTCATGTTGTAGTCATGTTGTAGTCATGTTGTAGTCCTGTTGTAGTCATGTTGTAGTCATGTTGTAGTCCTGTTGTAGACATGTTGTAGTCATGTTGTAGTCATGTTGTAGTCATGTTGTAGTCCTGTTGTAGTCATGTTGTAGTCCTGTTGTAGTCCTGTTGTAGTCCTGTTGTAGTCCTGTTGTAGTCATGTTGTAGTCATGTTGTAGTCATGTTGTAGTCATGTTGTAGTCCTGTTGTAGTCCTGTTGTAGTCATGTTGTAGTCCTGTTGTAGTCATGTTGTAGTCCTGTTGTAGTCATGTTGTAGTCATGTTGTAGTCCTGTTGTAGTCCTGTTGTAGTCATGTTGTAGTCCTGTTGTAGTCATGTTGTAGTCCTGTTGTAGTCCTGTTGTAGTCATGTTGTAGTCATGTTGTAGTCATGTTGTAGTCATGTTGTAGTCCTGTTGTAGTCATGTTGTAGTCATGTTGTAGTCATGTTGTAGTCATGTTGTAGTCCTGTTGTAGTCATGTTGTAGTCCTGTTGTAGTCATGTTGTAGTCCTGTTGTAGTCATGTTGTAGTCATGTTGTAGTCCTGTTGTAGTCATGTTGTAGTCCTGTTGTAGACATGTTGTAGTCATGTTGTAGTCATGTTGTAGTCATGTTGTAGTCCTCTTGTAGTCATGTTGTAGTCATGTTGTAGTCCTGTTGTAGTCATGTTGTAGTCCTGTTGTAGTCCTGTTGTAGTCATGTTGTAGTCCTGTTGTAGTCATGTTGTAGTCATGTTGTAGTCATGTTGTAGTCCTGTTGTAGTCCTGTTGTAGTCCTGTTGTAGTCCTGTTGTAGTCCTGTTGTAGTCATGTTGTAGTCATGTTGTAGTCCTCTTGTAGTCATGTTGTAGTCATGTTGTAGTCCTGTTGTAGTCATGTTGTAGTCCTGTTGTAGTCCTGTTGTAGTCATGTTGTAGTCCTGTTGTAGTCCTGTTGTAGTCATGTTGTAGTCATGTTGTAGTCCTGTTGTAGTCATGTTGTAGTCATGTTGTAGTCATGTTGTAGTCCTCTTGTAGTCATGTTGTAGTCATGTTGTAGTCCTGTTGTAGTCATGTTGTAGTCCTGTTGTAGTCTGTTGTAGTCCTCTGTAGTCATGTTGTAGTCCTGTTGTAGTCCTGTTGTAGTCCTGTTGTAGTCATGTTGTAGTCATGTTGTAGTCATGTTGTAGTCCTGTTGTAGTCCTGTTGTAGTCATGTTGTAGTCATGTTGTAGTCCTGTTGTAGTCATGTTGTAGTCCTGTTGTAGTCATGTTGTAGTCCTGTTGTAGTCCTGTTGTAGTCATGTTGTAGTCATGTTGTAGTCATGTTGTAGTCCTGTTGTAGTCATGTTGTAGTCATGTTGTAGTCCTGTTGTAGTCATGTTGTAGTCATGTTGTAGTCCTGTTGTAGTCCTGTTGTAGTCCTGTTGTAGTCATGTTGTAGTCATGTTGTAGTCATGTTGTAGTCATGTTGTAGTCCTGTTGTAGTCATGTTGTAGTCATGTTGTAGTCCTGTTGTAGTCCTGTTGTAGTCATGTTGTAGTCCTGTTGTAGTCATGTTGTAGTCATGTTGTAGTCATGTTGTAGTCATGTTGTAGTCCTGTAGTCATGTTGTAGTCATGTTTGTAGTCATGTTGTAGTCTGTTGTAGTCATGTTGTAGTCCTGTTGTAGTCATGTTGTAGTCCTGTTGTAGTCATGTTGTCATGTTGTAGTCATGTTGTAGTCATGTTGTAGTCATGTTGTAGTCATGTTGTAGTCCTGTTGTAGTCATGTTGTAGTCATGTTGTAGTCATGTTGTAGTCATGTTGTAGTCCTGTTGTAGTCATGTTGTAGTCCTGTTGTAGTCATGTTGTAGTCATGTTGTAGTCATGTTGTAGTCATGTTGTAGTCATGTTGTAGTCATGTTGTAGTCATGTTGTAGTCATGTTGTAGTCATGTTGTAGTCATGTTGTAGTCATGTTGTAGTCATGTTGTAGTCCTGTTGTAGTCAGTTGTAGTCATGTTGTAGTCCTGTTGTAGTCATGTTGTAGTCATGTTGTAGTCATGTTGTAGTCATGTTGTAGTCATGTTGTAGTCATGTTGTAGTCATGTTGTAGTCAGTTGTAGTCCTGTTGTAGTCATGTTGTAGTCCTGTCTGTAGTCATGTTGTAGTCCTGTTGTAGTCCTGTTGTCGTCATGTGTAGTCATGTTGTTAGGTCCGTGTAGTCCTGTTGTAGTCCTGTTGTTAGTCAATCGTTGTTGTAGTCCTGAATTGCTAGTCATGTTGTAGTCATGTGTAGTCATGTTGTGTATGTCATGTTGTAGTCATGTTGTAGTCATGTTGTAGTCATGTTGTAGTCCATGTTGTAGTTCATGTTGTAGTCATGTTTGTAGCATGTGTAGTCATGTTGTAGTCATGTTGTAGTCCATGTTGTAGTCATGTTTGTAGTTCATGTTGTAGTCCTGTTGTAGTCATGTTGTAGTCATGTTGTAGTCCTGTCTGTAGTCCTGTTGTAGTCTGTTGTAGTCCTGTTGTAGTCCTGTTTTGTAGTCATGTTGTAGTCATGTTGTATGTAGTCATGTTGTAGTCCTGTTGTAGTCATGTTGTAGTCATGTTGTAGTCATGTTTGCCGAGTCATGTTGTAGTCCTGTTGTAGTCCTGTTGTAGTCCTGTTGTAGTCCTGTTGTAGTCCTGTTGTAGTCATGTTGTAGTCCTGTTGTAGTCATGTTGTAGTCCTGTTGTAGTCCTGTTGTAGTCCTGTTGTAGTCCTGTTGTAGTCCTGTTGTAGTCATGTTGTAGTCATGTTGTAGTCCTGTTGTAGTCCTGTTGTAGTCCTGTTGTAGTCCTGTTGTAGTCCTGTTGTAGTCATGTTGTAGTCATGTTGTAGTCCTGTTGTAGTCATGTTGTAGTCATGTTGTAGTCATGTTGTAGTCATCTTGTAGTCATGTTGTAGTCCTGTTGTAGTCCTGTTGTAGTCATGTTGTAGTCCTGTTGTAGTCATGTTGTAGTCATGTTGTAGTCCTGTTGTAGTCCTGTTGTAGTCATGTTGTAGTCATGTTGTAGTCCTGTTGTAGTCCTGTTGTAGTCCTCTTGTAGTCATGTTGTAGTCCTGTTGTAGTCCTGTTGTAGTCATGTTGTAGTCCTGTTGTAGTGTTGTAGTCATGTTGTAGTCATGTTGTAGTCCTGTTGTAGTCCTGTTGTAGTCATGTTGTAGTCATGTTGTAGTCCTGTTGTAGTCCTGTTGTAGTCCTCTTGTAGTCATGTTGTAGTCATGTTGTAGTCATGTTGTAGTCCTGTTGTAGTCATGTTGTAGTCATGTTGTAGTCATGTTGTAGTCCTGTTGTAGTCATGTTGTAGTCATGTTGTAGTCGTTTAGTCATGTTGTAGTCTGTTGTAGTCCTGTTGTAGTCATTGTAGTCATGTTGTAGTCTTGTTGTAGTCATGTTGTAGTCTGTTGTAGTCTGTTGTAGTCCTGTTGTATGTTGTAGTCATGTTGTAGTCCTGTTGTAGTCATGTTGTAGTCATGTTGTAGTCATGTTGTAGTCATGTTGTAGTCATGTTGTAGTCCTGTTGTAGTCATGTTGTAGTCCTGTTGTAGTCATGTTGTAGTCCTGTTGTAGTCATGTTGTAGTCATGTTGTAGTCATGTTGTAGTCCTGTTGTAGTCCTGTTGTAGTCATGTTGTAGTCATGTTGTAGTCATGTTGTAGTCATGTTGTAGTCATGTTGTAGTCCTGTTGTAGTCCTGTTGTAGTCATGTTGTAGTCATGTTGTAGTCCTGTTGTAGTCATGTTGTAGTCATGTTGTAGTCATGTTGTAGTCCTGTTGTAGTCCTGTTGTAGTCATGTTGTAGTCATGTTGTAGTCCTGTTGTAGTCATGTTGTAGTCATGTTGTAGTCCTGTTGTAGTCATGTTGTAGTCATGTTGTAGTCATGTTGTAGTCCTGTTGTAGTCATGTTGTAGTCCTGTTGTAGTCATGTTGTAGTCCTGTTGTAGTCATGTTGTAGTCATGTTGTAGTCATGTTGTAGTCATGTTGTAGTCATGTTGTAGTCATGTTGTAGTCCTGTTGTAGTCATGTTGTAGTCCTGTTGTAGTCATGTTGTAGTCATGTTGTAGTCCTGTTGTAGTCATGTTGTAGTCCTGTTGTAGTCATGTTGTAGTCCTGTTGTAGTCATGTTGTAGTCATGTTGTAGTCATGTTGTAGTCATGTTGTAGTCCTGTTGTAGTCCTGTTGTAGTCATGTTTGTAGTCTGTTGTAGTCATGTTGTAGTCCATGTTTAGTCCTGTTGTAGTCATGTTTGTAGTCATGTTGTAGTCATGTTGTAGTCATGTTTGTAGTCATGTGTTGTAGTCCTGTTGTAGGTCATGTTGTAGTCTGTTGTAGTCAGTTGTAGTCATGTTGTATTCATGTTGTAGTCCTGTTGTAGTCATGTTGTAGTCCTGTTGTAGTCATGTTGTAGTCATGTTGTAGTCATGTTGTAGTCATGTTGTAGTCCTGTTGTAGTCATGTTGTAGTCCTGTTGTAGTCATGTTGTAGTCATGTTGTAGTCCTGTTGTAGTCATGTTGTAGTCATGTTGTAGTCCTGTTGTAGTCCTGTTGTAGTCATGTTGTAGTCATGTTGTAGTCATGTTGTAGTCATGTTGTAGTCCTGTTGTAGTCATGTTGTAGTCCTGTTTATGTAGTCCCTTTTAGTCATGTTGTAGTCCTGTTGTAGTCATGTTGTAGTCATGTTGTAGTCCTGTTGTAGTCATGTTGTAGTCATGTTGTAGTCCTGTTGTAGTCATGTTGTAGTCCTGTTGTAGTCATGTTGTAGTCCTGTTGTAGTCCTGTTGTAGTCCTGTTGTAGTCCTGTTGTAGTCCTGTTGTAGTCATGTTGTAGTCCTGTTGTAGTCCTGTTGTAGTCATGTTGTAGTCCTGTTGTAGTCCTGTTGTAGTCCTGTTGTAGTCCTGTTGTAGTCATGTTGTAGTCCTGTTGTAGTCATGTTGTAGTCATGTTGTAGTCCTGTTGTAGTCATGTTGTAGTCATGTTGTAGTCATGTTGTAGTCATGTTGTAGTCATGTTGTAGTCCTGTTGTAGTCATGTTGTAGTCATGTTGTAGTCCTGTTGTAGTCCTGTTGTAGTCATGTTGTAGTCATGTTGTAGTCCTGTTGTAGTCCTGTTGTAGTCCTGTTGTAGTCATGTTGTAGTCATGTTGTAGTCATGTTGTAGTCATGTTGTAGTCATGTTGTAGTCATGTTGTAGTCCTGTTGTAGTCATGTTTGTAGTCATGTTGTAGTCATGTTGTAGTCCTGTTGTAGTCATGTTGTAGTCATGTTGTAGTCCTGTTGTAGTCATGTTGTAGTCCTGTTGTAGTCCTGTTTGTAGTCCTGTTGTAGTCATGTTGTAGTCATGTTGTAGTCATGTTGTAGTCATGTTGTAGTCCTGTTGTAGTCATGTTGTAGTCCTGTTGTAGTCATGTTGTAGTCATGTTGTAGTCATGTTGTAGTCCTGTTGTAGTCCTGTTGTAGTCATGTTGTAGTCATGTTGTAGTCATGTTGTAGTCATGTTGTAGTCCTGTTGTAGTCATGTTGTGTCCGTTGTAGTCATGTTGTAGTCATGTTGTAGTCTGTGTAGTCATGTTGTAGTCATGTTGTAGTCCTGTTGTAGTCATGTTGTAGTCATGTTGTAGTCATGTTGTAGTCATGTTGTCATGTTGTAGTCATGTTGTCATGTTGTAGTCATGTTTTGTATGTTAATCTGTTGTAGTCATGTTGTAGTCATGTTGTAGTCCTGTTGTAGTCATGTTGTAGTCATGTTGTAGTCATGTTGTAGTCATGTTGTAGTCCTGTTGTAGTCATGTTGTAGTCCTGTTGTAGTCATGTTGTAGTCCTGTTGTAGTCCTGTTGTAGTCATGTTGTAGTCATGTTGTAGTCCTGTTGTAGTCATGTTGTAGTCCTGTTGTAGTCCTGTTGTAGTCATGTTGTAGTCCTGTTGTAGTCCTGTTGTAGTCATGTTGTAGTCATGTTGTAGTCATGTTGTAGTCCTGTTGTAGTCATGTTGTAGTCATGTTGTAGTCATGTTGTAGTCATGTTGTAGTCCTGTTGTAGTCCTGTTGTAGTCCTGTTGTAGTCCTGTTGTAGTCATGTTGTAGTCCTGTTGTAGTCATGTTGTAGTCCTGTTGTAGTCCTGTTGTAGTCATGTTGTAGTCATGTTGTAGTCATGTTGTAGTCATGTTGTAGTCATGTTGTAGTCCTGTTGTAGTCATGTTGTAGTCCTGTTGTAGTCATTGACCTGGTTGGTATTTGCAGATGAAGTTGTGCTTCATGTTGCAGCGGTCGTCGTTCCATTGGTGGAGATAAGCCCCGCCCAGACCAGGAAGTGCTGTGGGCTGATGGTACATCACGACGCAGGATTCCCCCCCGCACGACGGCTCGTCAAAATACCAGTTCCTGAAAAACACAAGGGGGGGGAGACGTTTTAGATGGTCCTGTGACCAGGTCCTGAGACCAGGTCGTGAGACCAGTGACAGGTCCTGAGACCAGGTCCTGAGACCAGGTCCTGAGACCAGTGACAGGTCCTGAGACCAGTGACAGGTCCTGAGACCAGTTTGTGAGACCAGTGACAGGTCCTGAGACCAGGTCGTGAGACCAGTGACAGGTCCTGAGACCAGTGACAGGTCCTGAGACTTGAGACCTGGTCCTGAGACCAGTGACAGGTCCTGAGACCAGTGACAGGTCCTGAGACCTGAGACCTGGTCCTGAGACCAGTGACAGGTCCTGAGACCAGAGACAGGTCCTGTGACCAGTGACAGGTCCTGAGACTAAGGTCTTCTCATGGACCGCCCTCCTGTCACTCACCTGAAGGAGGCGGGGCTTCCGTCGGTCCAGGTGTAGAGCTGAGGACAGGAAGTGAAGGTGTTGCTGAGTTCAGGGTTCAGAGCTCCGTCCAATCGGGTGAGACCAATCCAGAAATCCCCGTCAGAGATCCCGCCTCCTGCCCCTCCCACGGCTCCTGAGCGCAGATCCTGCCGAAGAAGAGGAAGAGGAAGGCGATGAAGATGATGAAGATGATGAAGAGGAGGAAGATGAGGAAGATGAAGATGATGAAGATGAAGATGATGAAGAGTAGATACCTGCAGCAGTTCCTCGATGTCCCTCTGCTCCTCTGGACTCCTGATATAGAGGATGAAGAGGATGAAGGTGGAAGGAGAGGATGAGGAAGATGAGGAAGAAGAGGAAGAAGAGGATGATGAGGACGAAGATGATGAAGATGATAAAGAGTAGATACCTGCAGCAGCTCCTCGATGTCCCTCTGCTCCTCTGGACCCCTGATGCTGATCAGTTCTCCCCCGTCTGTCTTGCAGGCCTGACCCGCCTCTCTGAAGGAGACCCGGCTCGTCACATCGTGGAAGAACGCGATCTTATAACAGGGTCCATCAGGACCTCGTAGACACACCGTCTGACCTGAAGGGGACCAGAACTTTAGACCTGAACCAGGAGGACCCCCCAAACACACCGTCTGACCTGAGGGGGACCAGAACTTTAGACCTGAACCTGAACCAGGAGGACCTGTGTGTCTGTGTATGTGTGTATGTGTGTGGTTGTGTGTGTGTGTGTGTGTGTGTGTGTGTGTGTGTGTGTGTGTGTGTGTGTGTGTGTGTGTGTGTGTGTGTGTGTGTGTGTGTGTGTGTGTGTGTGTGTGTGTGTGTGTGCTGCAGTGATTAATTCTGGTTAAACACTGAGAGCTACTTTAAGTGATTATCTGGATCGTCTCCTGCAGCCTCATCACTTTCCTGTTAGAGCTCCATACTGCCTGTCTGTCTGCACACTGTCCCACTGCCTGTCTGTCTCACTGCCTGTCTGTCTGCACTGTCTCACTGCCTGTCTGTCTCACAGCCTGTCTGTCTGCACACCGTCTCACTGCCTGTCTTTCACACTGCCTGTCTTTCACACTGCCTGTCTGTCTCACTGCCTGTCTGTCTCACTGCCTGTCTGTCTGCTCTTGTGGCTTCAGATGGTCGTACTGCTCTCTAATGAAAGAAGACCAATCATAATTCTAAATAAATGGATTATTTTATTTATTAAAAATAACCAGAGAAATAACCAAAATATACAGATTTGAAAGATTAAAATAAATGAAACAAAACATTAAAACAAAATGAAAAATATTTAAAACTGAAAAATACAAATAAAAACAGATAAAGTTTGATCATGAAACTGAGTTTGACCAAAGAGTTTAAATATGATGAAAAAGGAAATGCTGCTTGTTATTCATCTTACACCTTGAGGAGACCCAGATCTCTAAAGAATATTTATTTATATTTAAACTATTATTATTGGGTTTATGAACGACAGGTATTTCATAATACACATATTTTATTCCAATATCAAATAATCACGAAAGTTCCCTTGGATGGTTTGAAACCCCTAAATCAATACATTTAGATAAATGAACGATTCAGTGTTAAGGAGAACATATTTTAAAACACATTATATTTCAGTTTCCAACAAACCTTAAACTAAACACATACAAAGATATATATATATATATATATATATATATAGATATTCATATCGTTAGGGATCAGATCATGGAGAGTAAAAGTACACTAAGGAATAAAGTACTCAACATACTTGAGATATTAAATCAGATAAATGAGTAAATAACAGTTAATTAAAACTCTTATTTTGGTAACTCACCACTGACGACCCGCGCTGCGCTGCCCGGGGTTACGGTCATCGCCATAACAACCCCAAAGATCACCAGGAGAAACATCGTGGAGATCAAAGAAACGAGAAAGAAAAATACAAAGAAATAAATCTGAAGAAGTTGTTGTAGTTTAGAGAAAATAAACAAAACAACAATTTCAAAATAAGAGCCCTGATATAAAAGCTCCTTTAAGTCTCTCTGCTCTCCTCCTTCTGTGAAGTGAAGTGAGAGGAGAGAGAGGGGAGGGGGGTCTCTGCTCCTCCCCCAAGATCCTCCCCCTTATTACCCCCTGGGGGCCACACACACACACACACACACACACACACACACACACACACACACACACTCACAGTTTGATTCACTTACACACGCAGCCAGTTGATTGGCTCCCGATGAGCAGCTGATCAATAACTGACACTCTGAAATCTGTCAAATCTGTCACAAACCGTTACACTATATATATACATATACAGGATATATATCCTGTATATGTATATATATATATACTGTATATATATACTGTATATATATCCAGTATATACAGGATATATATCCTGTATATGTATATATATATATATACAGTATATATATACTGTATATCTCTGCATCGATAGAGGGAGCTGTTAGCTTCTTCAAGCTAGGCTAACATTGTCAATGTTATAACTGATTAAATGTGTTGATAAAGGAACACACTGATATTTCCTCCTGATTGTTGTATGTGTGTGTGTGTGTGTGTGTGTGTGTGTGTGTGTGTGTGTGTGTGTGTGTGTGTGTGTGTGTGTGTGTGTGTGTGTGTTAATGATATTCTGATGATAACGGGACACAGACAGAAACTCATTAATCAGATGTTGGAGATCGTTACGGAGCGGGGGGGAATGGTGAGCAGCTCTTTATGATTCCTGCAGTTTCAAATGGAAATCAATGAAGCCTTCAGATGTTCTATCTGCATCGAGCGAGTCCCTGAACGCACCACCGGAGATATTAAACTCACCAACGCCTCCACCTGAAGCCTCGAAATATATCACATGTTCAATACGTTACTAAAGGAAGTAGAAATACAAAAGTACAATATTCATTATTATAATTAAAGTATATTTTAAACACTGTTCTTCATGCAGATAAATAAGACACACCTAACACTGACAGGAAGTGTGAGTGAGATCACTGACACACTTAGTCTGAAACTCTACCTGTGTGTGTGTGTGTGTGTGTGTGTGTGTGTGTGTGTGTGTGTGTGTGTGTGTGTGTGTGTGTGTGTGTGTGTGTGTGTGTGTGTGTGTGTGTGTGTGTGTGTGTGTGTGTGTGTGTGTGTGTGTGTGTGTGTGTGTGTGTGTGTGTGTGTGTGTGTGTATAACTTCATTATGTGGGATCAGATGAGGATATGTCTCACTGAGTCTGTTTCAGGTGCTGGAAAATCCTCAGTTTATTTGAAAAGATAACCAGAAGACAACAAAGTAAACAGAAAAGGATATAAATAATTAAAAATATCCAGAAAGACAAAAAGAACAAAAATATTCATAAAAGACCCAAAATATTTAAAAATCGACAAAGAAGTGTTTCTGCTTGGAAACAATCAGATCACCGTTTGAACCCAAAGTTTTAGAGTTTTCTTTAAAATGGTCCGACAGGAAGTTCACCTGAGAGTCAAACACACACTGTTTGTATAAACAAGTGATTTACACACACACACACACACACACACACACACACACACACACACACACACACACACACTGACCTGTTAGATCTCAGTATTGATCGGCTGCAGGCGGCTGATCGTCTCCGTCCAGGAACACACTCCACTTACTGCTGATTACCACACACACACACACACACACACACACACACACACACACACGCTCACACACACACACACACACACACACACACTTAAAGTATCAGCTGCAGCATATTGGAAAAGATATGGACATTGTGATGTAAAGAATTAAAGTAATTTCCACCGGATATGGTAATGCTGAGATGATACATCATTCACAAGCACACACACACACACACACACACACACACACACACAGAGTAATATGTCAATCACACGGACAATATCCGTCACAGAGTTGTGGATCAATAAAGTTTCTCTAAATTTCTAAATGTGGATTTATGAGGCAGATTCAATCAGCTGGGCAGCCGGCAGACTGCAGGATGTTACATTAACTCTGAGTGTGTGTGTGTGTGTGTGTGTGTGTGTGTGTGTGTGTGTGTGTGTGTGTGTGTGTGTGTGTGTGTGTGTGTGTGTGTGTGTGTGTGTGTGTGTGTGTGTGTGTGTGTGTGTGTGTGTGTGTGTGTGTGTGTGTGTGTGTTAAAGAACTGTAATATAACCTGCTGTGTAAAATCAATCTGCATTAACACACACAGTGTCAGTTATCTCCTAAAAGACATTTGTGATGTGAACATGTGTCAGAAATAAATAAATCTGATGCTAACGCTAGCAGTTTTAGCAGCCGTAGTAAACCACATAGCCTACTGTAGTTTTATATGGCCACTTCTAAAAATCTATATAGAGAGGCGAAGTCCCTCCCCTTCCGGTGGGACTCCAGAAAAAGTTTGCATTGAAGTCAATGGAGAGAGAAAGATTATCTCTCGATCCCGTTTGAATTGTGCCACGAATTACACATATGATGTTTGTCAATCTTAAATAATAATTTCCATGTCAAAAAAGTCACAGTTTGTCGTAAAACTGTTGAAATATAAGACTATGAAAAATACGCAACTAGAAAGACTACAAATCCCAGAGTCCCGGTCCCGCATGCTGGCTCTTAGGAACCCACTAACTCCCCTTGTGTGTATGTTGTTGGAGCAGAACACCTCTGCTACGCGCCGTTCGTTGGATGAGGCTGGATCTCTATTAAATTAAGAAAGGAATTGAAAACACCGGAATTAAAGTTATAACAAATTATCTGAGTTTACTTCTGGTAGGAAACCAAACACATATACAAGTTATACAGAGTACTTGAGTACTCCGGGCTTCAGGTTTGTGATGCGATGCAGATAAAGGTGTCGGGACCCGCCAACTCGTCAAACGAGATGAAAGTGACTTCAAGTTTGTGATGCCATGCGGACACAGATATCGGGACCTGCCACTCACCAAACCAAAAAGCATTTTTACATACAGAAACATCAGTATTTATATCTATTTTTGGGGCGGAGATGTGTCAACTCTTCCTTCCCATTTTCCTCCCAAGCGAATCAGAGTTCCGTGAGGAGGAGCTGTGTAAGCTGATCACCTCCCCCAAGTGTCCTGACCGGCTGGATTCACTTCTGGTCGAGTTCAATAGTTCTCACCAGAACTTGGAATTCCAAAGTACCCTAAGGTCAAAAGTCAACCTCTATCTCCGATTCGAATCTTAACTCTATTCCTTTCCCATGAGTTCTTCACATAAACCATCCCTTTTCAGACATTTAAACTTTTCTTCACCTATTTAACGATGTCTTTAACGACTTAAAAACAACATCTGTTCTTAGGGGTGATAAGGAGCGATGTAATGTTGTCTTTAACGACCTTAATGACGACATCTGGTTTTTAGGGGTGAAAAGGCCAAGTTGGTGTGTGAAACTGGATCCCTGGGTCAGTGAGTTGTAAGAGAGAATATAATTTCTTTATATGTGATCACCTAAAACCGTTGTGATTACATAAAACAGTTCAACCAATACATGTTCACTAAAATACAATTCAAAATAATACATGTTTACTTCAATACAGTGTAGAATCATATCTTTTTACTTCAATCCCTCTTTTGATCTCACCTCACGAGATCAACATATAGCACTTGAAACATTACCACTGTCAATCTTTTTCTTACTGTGTCTGTCCCAACATTTATATAAACCCATCAGAAGTTGGGATATAGAGCACTTTAAACCTTTAGGAACAGTCCACAACAACAACTTATTATGACAGTGGAGGGAGAATAAAATATGTCTAAAAAGCAAAGTCCTTGTCAGCTGAGTCATCTTTACTCTTCCCTCAATGGTGGAACTGATGAGTCTAACACACAATGAGCGGATACAAGGCACACAACAACAACCACATGTCACCAAAATGGCAATAAAAGTAGCCACAGAAATTAGAAAAGACATTATTAAACTTTTCCCTCTTTTGGTAACACATAGTTCTGTGGGGTAAAAAATACAAATCCCTTAAATTATGGGATATAAAAATAAAGTTGAAAGTTCCTCCAAAAAATGGATTGTTCAGACAAAGTTCCACACCGGCTATATCAACCTGTTTCAGCGGGAAATGGAGTTCCCTGTGCCGTCTTGGTTTGCCATGTCTTCGTCCCCCCAGCCCGCTGACGGCGGCTTCTGGGGTGCCTGCTAGAGAGATGTGGCCTGATTGTCCTCCCCCGGCCCGCTGATGGCGGCCTCCGGGTCGATGCTGGAGAGATGTCCCGATCCTCCTCCTCCGGCCCGCTGATGGCGGCTTCCGGGTCGACTGCTGGAGAGATGTCCTGATCCTCCTCCTCCGGTCTGCTGATGGCGCCTCCTGGGTCGACTGCCTTGACGAGAGCCAGATCTGTTCTGATGTCGTCTAGGGTCCTCGCGACGAGGGCCAACTCTGTCCTGATGTCGTCTAGGGTCCTCGCAGGTGTTTTTCCCGACCGCACACTGGCTCCAGTGGTACCAGTTGTCTCCCTTTCCATCTAGGCGGACGGCATGGGAGGTCCCCTCCAACCAGACGTAATCAGCTGTGTTGGCCTTGTGTTTCTCGGGTCCCCCTTTTGGCGTCAGCAACCTGTGTGGAGAAGTCTCATACCAAGCCCTTAAGTTGCTGGAAATATGGTTTTGAAATCATCTCTTCTACTTCTTTAGTGTTTATTGGCGGCACCAACTAGACTGGAGTGTGGACAAGAGACTATGCAGAAAATAATAAACAAAAAATAAAAAATAAAAAATAAAAAATAAAAAAAATAAAAAATAAATAGAACAAAAATAAAACAAAAAAGGAACAAACTAACAAAACAAAAAATAACCAAAGCTAGATTATTTTAAATGTATCAATTTCTCTTAAAAGCAACAAACAAAACAAAACAAAACAAAAAATCGCCAAA